GTCAGCATGTTAGCACGTCGATCGCCATTTACGCATCATGACAAAAGCAGAGAATGGGGACGTAAAGAAAAAGGAAAATCTCAGCCATGTTTTTTTTTCACTTCAAACGAAACTGTGGATGCGTGTGCGGTCGCTTCTTTGATTCTCCCCCTCTTCTCAGTGTGACGTTGAAACCCTCTCTTTCTTTTCTGTGGTGGATTTCACGCGCCCACAACTCTACTCTATTTGTTGTGTGATTGTTCCCCAGTGTGTGTGTGTGTGCAACGTTTTTTTCGTCTGCTCTCCGGTGCTTGTCGCTGTCTCACTAGTGTGGCCAGGGCTCTCAATCAACGTCCTCTCGGGCATGCGTAGACACTGCCAGTGAATCTCTACCCAGCGTATTGCGCTGCGTACGGTGGCGGTGTGGGCAAACACGCCAAGTCGCCGGCGGAGGCGGGAACTGCCTCATCAGCACCGCGGTCGTTTTCTGCCGCACCTCAGCCCTCACAAGAGAGTGGCGCTGCAGCGGCGTCTCAGGCCGCTGCACCGCTTATCGACAGGGAAGCAGATGCCAGTCACACCGAACCAGGGCAGCACTGTCCTTATCCTCATCACGCTCGGCCCGGCTTCTTGTCTCCCGAACGAATTTCCAAGTACGTCCCGGCACCTGCGAAGTTTGCGGCATCGCTGGTGGCAGATGCACTGGACCTACCCGTGAATAATAACAATAGTTCTGCCGCCTCCCCATCAGGGACATTGCGGCAGGAATACACGGAGCACTGTGTGCTGGGCTGGTCCCCTGCTGACCTCTACCACGTTGTCGCAGATGTCGCGCAGTACAGCACCTTTCTCCCATGGTGCGTAGACTCCATCGTGCACCAAGTGAGGCGCCTCGACGATGAGGCCGACGGTGAAGTTGCCGCTAGCGACGGCAGCAAGAGGGTAGGGAGGGTTGCTAGTAGTGACAGCAGTGGTAGTAGTAGTAGTAGGCCTATGGAGATGTTTGCCACCCTCACAGTGGGATTCTCCTTCTTTAAGGAGCAGTACACCTCTCGGGTGTTGCTTTTCCCCGGGAAAAGGGTGCAGGCTGCTCTCAAGGAGGATGCAAAGCAGCGTCGTAGTCCCGTTCTCTCAGACCTGAACTGTGTTTGGGAGTTCAGCCCCGTGCCGGGGCGAGAGCGCCAGGTGGAGGTGCGATTTCTCGTCAGCTTCGCCTTTAAAAACCCACTGCACTCCAGGCTTATCATGTCACACGTGGTGACGCTCATGACGAGAAGTTTTGAGAAACACTGCGAAAAACTATATGGCCCGCCGAGCTGCCAACGCGAGCGCCTCGTCACGCGGTAGCTGCCCCGAGAAGGCGGACGAAAAAAAAGAAGATGCCGGCGTTCTCTTGGGGTTGGGAGAAACGGATGCAAACGTGGGGGAGGAAGGCGTGTGAAATGGAGGGAAATATATATATAGAGCGAGAGAGAGCGAGAGGATAACAAGAAAAAAATGGACGGGGAGAAGTACAAGAGCGGTAGAAGCGACTGGTAGATGTGGGAATGACCCTTTACTTTTTGCGTGGAACGAGGTATCCCATGCCGCCCCTGCATTACATGTGTGTGTGTGTGTTTGGGGGAGGGGGTCCCCAAGGTTTGTACTCTAATAATTCGGAGATAAATGTTTGGCGCTGCGTACATAACGTGTAACTACGGCAGCAGCGGCAGCAACAACAAAAAGATGCGTGCATGTCTGCACTGTAAGACTGTAATGAACGCATTTTACTGTTCCATTGAACGAGGCGCACCGTGCGTTATTCTCGGTGCGGGCGTGTATGATTCTTGTAGATATTTCACCCTTTTTTGAGTGTCTAGCCGTGCGTGTGCCTTTTTTTTCCTGTCTGTTTTTCTCATGTGCCGTAGGTGACCTTAGAGAGAGATGCGGCCGGCGACCGACGTCTCCAAAGTGCAGGAGCGTAGCGAGGAGGACACCGCAGGGGAAACGGCGGCAGCTTTCGTCGAGGCGAACGGTGAGTTAATGACGCTTTTCTTTCGACACATTACGGTCTGCCCGCCGCACGGGCCCTTCAAGTACTATAGCGCCCTCACCTTCACGGCGAGGGTGCGTCGCTGGCTCGTGGCAAATTCCTCGGATGCCAACGCCGCGACGATGAAGGAGCTAACCCCAACGGCGGTTCTTCAACTTATGGAGAAGTACTACAACACGCAGCATCTGCGAAGCTGGCCGCTGTTGTATGTGCCTGCCGAGGTACGTCTGAAGGACGTGGATGCAATTCTGGGCGAAGGAAAGTGAGACACCGCGCGCCGTGCATTTAGCCCCGTTCTTTTTTTTTAACTCGTTTGGTGCAACGTAGTAAAGTTTGCTTCTTTGCGTTTTGCTTCGGCACTCTGTGGATGCCCGGAGAAAGAGCAGAAAGGGGTGGGGGGACAAGCGGAGGAGATAACGAGGAGAAGGGAGAGACTGGCGGCTGGGCCAATTATCTTGCCGCTCCCGCCTTTCTGTGTCTCCCGATAATTGCCTTTTGCCTCACACTCTCTGCACCGCCGTAAATTGTCCTTGTGGCATTTCTCCTTCTGGGCCTGCGTGCGTGTGCTTGTGTGCGAAGTAGGCGGCGTCGATATTTCTACTGGAGGATGAAGCGAAAATAAGAAGGAAAAAGAAGGAAAAGTCAGGGGCGTGTGGAAAATGTCTTCTTCACATCTGGAAGGTCCACTTTTGCGCCGCTCTATCCCCTTTGTGGAGCGCTGGATCGCCGAGCTTGCCGCCGCGAGAGCACCGCCGGTAGCCGCCAAGACGGAGGTGGCGCGGGAGCAGGCGCCGCGAGGCGTGGACGCGAAGGGAAAAAAGAAGGGCGGAAATGCTGCTGGTGCCCCCGCGACTGCTGCTGCTGCTGCCGCTGCCTCTGGGGAGGAGGCCTCTGGCAGCAGCATGTCCAAGTGTCGCTTTGTCGTCGGCAAGGTGGTTGACGTGCGCCCGCACCCGGAGAGCGAGAAGTTGTATATTGAAGAGATTGACCTCGGCGAGGCGGCAGGGGGACGCCGCACCATCCTTAGCGGCCTCCAGGGGCACGTGAGTCAGGCGGAGTTTGTCAACCGCCTGGTGCTTGTCATTGCCAACCTAGAGCCGCGCAAGATTGGCGGCATCGTTTCAGAAGGCATGGTCCTCTGTGCCTCGCAAACCGACGGGGACACGCGCGATGTAAAGTTGCTGGACGTCCCCGCAGACACACCCATCGGCGAACGTGTCGTGTTTGAAGGCCACGACGGCCCTTTTGAGCCGGTGCTGAAGAAGAAGTTGGCAAAACACTTTGAAAAGGTGGCGGCCGACCTAAAGACGAATGAAAAGGGTGAGGTGGTGTGGGGAAGCGTGCCGTTTCGCACGAGCCGTGGTGTCATTACTGCGCCCATCCGTAATGGCGTCGTCTCGTGAGCAACAGGAAATGTTTACATTATAAACGGAGACAAGAGGCAAAAGGCAAAAAAACCCACGCGTGCCACGTGCTGAAAAGCTTGAAAGAAAACACTGTTGATGATATGGAAGGTGTGAAATAAAATCAGCTGAGGCAGAAGAGGAGAAGAATTGGGGGCGGGAGAAGGAGGGGGCAAGAATAGAAAAGGAAAACACATCTATATGCAGACCTTTATTCATCTATGCTTCTACACGCATGCTCTGTTTCTCCTTTCTCTACTCTTTGTTCTATGCGAGGCTAGAGGAGATGAATTGAGGAAAGTGTGAAGCCGTTTCTTTTCTTTTCCTTTGCCCCTTTCCCAGTGGGGCGATGCCGCGACGGCGTGCCCTTCCCTGGTGTCGCGGCGCCCTGCGCCTAGTTATAGTAATCCTTGTCGCGTTCCTGCTTCTCAGTTTCCCGCTTATCGTTTGGTCGTCGTACCCTGACGAGGAACCACTCCCCCCACCGCAGCTGACGGCGAGTAAAGTGACCGTTCCCATTACCTTCAAGGACGATATTCCTGGCTGACTGCTTAACGATAGTGATGATGTCATACCCAATGACGAGGCGACTACATCGTCTGCTGCAGATTTTAAAGTCTATTCTGTACGACTGGCCAAAGGATGAGGGGCTTGTCTATGAAGTTGTGCTCGTGTGGAATGGCGCGGAGGAGACTATACCACGGGAACTGCTCAGGTTGAAAGCCATGTATGACACGGAGCATCGACCGGCGTACAGAGGCCATGGACATGCCCCCCTTTTGCGTTTTGTGCCGCAAAAGTAAACTCCATGGCGAATCGTTGGCTCATCTCCCCCATTCTCCGTACCGAAGCCGTACTGAACATGGACGATGATGTGAATGTGTCGTACGCTGCACTACGATGCATGTTTTCAGTTTGGCTGCGATCACCCTACTCGCTGGTGGCAACCGACGTGCGGGCCATTGTGGACTGTGCAAAAACAACGGAACGCTGCAAGTACGGTGGACCTTTTGACTACCTGGCTCGGGAGCGACTGCAAGGCATTGGGCTTTCGTACAATATGGCCCTACCACGTGTCCTTCTGGCCTCGCGTATCTACCACGCGGCATTTGCGGCGTCCTTTTATCACGTTGTACATGTGCCATCGCCCCCCACCCTGGCGACCGTCGCGCCGCCCCAGCGAGATTCACTTGAGCGCATCGTACGGGAGTTGCTCTGCGATGACATCGCCTTCAACTACGCGGCGGCAAATGCCTCTATCCACTTCCCGCGCCCTGCTGGCTCCCGTCCCCGGCGACAAGGCGCGATTAGAGCCGCCCCGCTTCTTGTCAGGGCTCCTGTGGCCTCATTTCCGGAGTCCAATGCGGCAGGGGCCCTCACATTAGAGCGCGGTATGAAGCTGAAGCGGCGCGAGTGCGCTAACCGACTTTCAATCCTCTTCTCTTCGGATGGAGGCCGCACCCCCTTCCGTCTTGAGCAGCAATTTTGGCAGGCAACTTGTACGGTTAGCAAATGACGTTAAATGTAGTGAAGGTTACATTCACTCCTTTTATATTTCTTTTTTGCTTTTTTAAAAGAAGTTCTTCCTGGGGACCTCATGTGCGTCCCTGTGACAGCCAAAACATGTCGAAAACAAAAAAAACAACAATAAAGCGACAATAATTCTGCTTTCTTTTGACAAACGTGTCCGTGCAGCCCAGTGGAGAGGCGTCTGACGGCGGTTCAGCAGGTGGTAGCGCCGCATCCCGCCGTCAGGACCGTTTTTTCTTCCCCGCATGACTCCTCCTCCCCCCGATTCTCTTGTATCCGTCCATCCCTGTTCCCGCTGCGCTCTTCTGCCGACGGCTGGTGCGGCGTCTGACTCGTTGGCAGCACGCACTCCAAGCTGCAGTGGCAATGCCGGTGCGGGTTCTTGTGGCGCTGCCCCCGATGGACGGGCCCGCCGTGACGGAGGCGGTGCTGGAGGAGCTCACCGTTTCGTCGTCGCGCCTGCAGCAGGCCACCCGGCAGCGCTACCCCGTCGCGTGCGAACGTCCTGTGTTGGAGGGGCGTTGGCGCGGCAAGTGGCACCGTTTCGCGGAGGAGGTTGCGGGGTTGCGCTGCCTCCTCGACACGCCGCTGGACTACGCCGAGGCCTGCGGACTCTGGGCCCACATCGCGCCGAATGAGCTGCGGTGCTGCCTTGTGGGCGAGGACCCCCGCGTGGTGCGGCAGGCGGACGAGGACATGGGCGCACGGCTGCGTGAGCGTCTTCTCCACAAGGGGACTTTGCACTGCTTCCGCGATGCGGCGCTGCGGGCGGCGCAGGCGGAAGTTGGCGCGGGTGTTTCTGCTGGCGTCAACCCTGCGGGGGCTCGCGAAGGGCGCGTCCCTCTCTGGCTGCGACGGGGGCGCCGTGCCACTTTCACCGCTCCTCTCTGGTCTCGTCAGAGGGACGTTGTGTTTCGCTTTCCTCACAGGGGCGCCAAGTTTTTACTTTATTATCACGTTTTGTTTGTTTGGCTCTCTCACAGCTGGATGGGGGCTGTCTGGCCTGCTCGCGCGTCCCTCGGAGGCGCCGCTCCGCCGGCCTTTTTTGCTTTTGGGTTTCGCTTTTGTGTGCGTGCTGCGTGCCGCGTCTGTCGCCCGCCCACGTGTGGGCTGCGGTGGACTCCTCTCTCTCTTTGTCTCTTTTGCTGAATGTGGCTGCGTGGGGTCCTGTGTGTCTGTGTGACTTTTTTTTTGCCTCTCATTCTCCTTTTGGCTCGTGTTCGGTGTTCGGCTGCAGCTCAAGCCAACACCAACAACC